AATACCCCTTTCATGTTGTTTCCGTCATGGTAATCTCGTCCAACCTCTACTTTTCTCAAGTTTCTTGAAATCAGTGAATTCTCTCGCTTTCTTGAACGGATGTCGACCGATGAACTATTCCCAACCTACACTTCTTCCGCCGGGTACCTCAAAATTATCATGAACTCTGCCTTTAACTTACATTCAGAATGGAACAATTAACTTACGGTTAGCAACCCTGGGGCAGGAAAATGTTTTCACTCCCAATTAAGAATGGCCGTTTCCATTTTTCATTTTTGCTTATTCAGCTGATAATCTTGCATCTATGACCTATCCTAGAATTTTTTTAGAAAATTATCATCTCTCCACTCACTTTGTACTCAGACTGACAACCGGCTCGTCCGTCTTGTACAACGAGGTGCACTTGTTACTGCTAAGTATTCCGACTCGCAATTTTCCATCTCGAAGTCCGATCAGCAATTTATCATCGAAAGGCCATTGAACGACGGTGGTGGCAGCACTTTGCGGTAATTTGTTCACGATCACCTTCTTTTCAGTCCTGAAATGGTTAAATCTAACTGATGATTGATTCCCGAGACCATACACTTTTCCTAATGTTACGGCAGAGTTTTCGAGCCAGGTTGGGTTGGGCGTCACTCGTCGCCTGTTCAATCACCTGGTAAGGTGTGGGAGCCTATCGCGAGTGTGGGCAAGTGAAAGAATCATTTTCTCAACCATTCCTCCCCTACCTCGGCCTTGGTACATGTTCGGATCCCATCAAGAGTCTATTTTGACCACTGCAAATGAAAGAGTAATGGAAGGCCAGTACTTATTATGTCCCTCGCACTTGCTCTCTTCTTTCGGCACGATTTCAGAGAAGCCTCGAAATTTGAGAGTCTACCCTCCCACCGTGGAATTGCCTTATGCATGAGGTGAAAACTTTGGAAACAGTTTTTCAGCTGAAAAAAATATCAATGAATATAACACTTACCAGGACTCGCCAACTTTGTAAACATAAACAACATTGTCGGTTTGGGCGACAGCAAGTCGTGTGGAATCCGGTGAAAAGCAGACCGATTTGATTACGTAGGATTTCTTGCCATACTGAAAGAAAACAAAACAAGTCATTCAGTACGTGAAACAGAATGTTTGGGAACACAGGAAATCAAATTTTCAAAAAATACAGCTAAAAAATGGTATGAAATGGATTTCGAAAAGCGATTATTCATTCTTTACCTCACCTTACTATCCAGCGATTTTGAACTGAATCGATCCCTTACATCGCCTTTTTCATCGATCAACGTGATAAGACGATCATTCCCGACCACAGCCAATTTGACCCCATTTGGAGTGCATGCCAGTGAGCAAATCTTATTGGAACCCTCCTACAAAAGCATATGTTAGGAACATGAGCAGGTGAAAATGAAGGAGTAAGATTGAGGATGAAAGCCGAGAAACAAATCAAGAAGACTGCTCAAAAGACATGGATTGAGCTGAAAAAGCTTAGGAAAGTGACTCCATAGAATTCAACAGGCAACTGAAGCTGGTTTGTCTGTAATTCATGTACATAGCTTTTAAAAGGTGGTGCGAGCATTCTCTTTCATTGTTCCAGACAATTTCGGATTAAAAAGATTGGCAAAGATGTAAGGAATTTAAGGTGTTTGCCGATGCTGATGGCATTCTCGTGACAGTATTGAATAGTAACTAACCAGTGAAGAATTTTGAACTAATCAACCTCAATGAAATCCTTGATGACTATTTTGAAGAATAGTTCAATACTGCATGCTTTTACATCTTCAGACTCCAGGATTATGACATCATAACTAATTCTAGTGAAGGGGGATCGTTTCCCCGCATTAGGACATCCGAAAAATACTGTAGGACAACGTCAACAATCATTAAGCCTGGAGACTATCTAAAAACGCTTTCTCGATCCCTTGCTTGACAGCTTAAAATTACTTTCATCCTACCAAGCATTCGCTCGGGGAAAGTCCGTAAGCCAGAAGAGCGGGACCCGCTTTCAAGTGCGGCAAACGCTAAAGGAGACGAAGAGAAATGAACGTTAGTCTAGTGGGTTATTAAACAGCGTTTGTTATTGTGTAGTAATATATTACCTGTTGTGGTAGAAGGGTTGCGAGGTATTGAAGCTTCATCCAGTTGGTATCGTGGACGATTACCTACCTTTCAATTCTTTGCAGTGTTCGTTTGACTACATCGTCGTTTCCATGGACACCATGGGCGCGGTAGGCATGCCATCACCAGAGGTCATTCCTGCCTCACGGTGTGTTCTGCAGCTTTCAGCCTTTTAAATAGGCCCAGAGGACATTCCTTTTTTTCCCTATTAAACATTTTCTCTTTTTTGACGGCTTCAGGAATAGAGGCCCATGAACCAACGTTACTTGATCATTCGATATCTCTTCACGTCCTTTTCACTTTCCAGTAATTCCTCAACTTAAAAAGGTGCCCTTTTAATTATTCGAACTGAGGATGGGATCCAAGAAGGGGTAAAGCGATTACCAGCGACCATATCCTATTAGATAGCACTACATATCCCGATCAGCTTTGAGGGATAAGAGATCCTGCTCGGCCTGACCGAAGAAAACACGAGATTCTTTTGACC